AACTCATGGTCCTCCTGCCTCAGGTCCAAGAGTGCCGGGATCACAGGTGTGTGCCATCACATTCAGCAGAACACAGAATTTGAGAATTCTCATGAGCTATGTCTACTTCAAGTGTGTGTAAATGCATGTGTATATTTGTGTATGTATGTATGTATGTATGTATGTATGTATGTTTATATGGGGTACTGATTCAGAGTTTTGCTTCCACCAAGCTCAAACCGAACCACTAAAAGAACCCAAGCATAAAATTGCAGCCTTTCACCCCGTCGCACAAGCAGCGAGGGCCTTTAGCCTCTCTACAGATGAGCAATTTAGGCAAGATGGCTGGTTTGCCTGAGTTGGTTTCCCAACCTTGCATGGGATCAGCTACCAACTGCTTTCCTTCCCCTGCTCCAGGCTTCTGGGAAGTCTGCACTGCCTGGGTTCAAATCCCAGCTAGGCTACTTTCTAACTGTGATCTTGAGAGATCACAAGGTCTCTGAGGTTTGGTGTTCCCACGTGTAGAGTGGAAACTATTGTCCACGGCCAAGTCTACTCCCAGGGAGAGGGTGAGGGTGCCGGAAGGAAGTCAGTGCACATGGCAAGTTGGGCACAGTGCCTGCCTTAGGCCACACCGCAGGAAGTGTCATTTGCTGTGACCATGGGGAACGAATGACTGGCCCACACTGCAGGTAGCTGGACAGATAGTTTGTCCGTGCGTTCATTCACTTATTGGACAGATATTTATTAAGAACCTAGATGGGCCGGACAATGGTGGCTCACGCCTTTAATCCCTGCACTTGGGAGGCAGAAGCAGGCGCATCTCTATGAGTTTGAGGCTGACCTGGTCTACATAGTGTGTTCTAAGACAGCAGGACTATTTTACAGAGAAACCCTGTCTCCAAAGAACCTAGACAGTGTCCATGGTTAAACCTGCCTGTCTTTGTGGAGGTGACCCCCCACTACATCTTCTGCAAAGGCAGCTTCCAGCGGGACTCACGACCTCCGCAGACCTTGACTCCTCCCACTGTGTAGCGGGGAGCTGTCTTTGTCCTCTGTGTCTCTAGGCATGGAGGCTGGAGCAGGGGTATGACTTCCTAAGATTGTTGTCCCGTTATTCCACATGGCATTACCAGCCTCCTTCATAGAGGAAGCTCACCATGGCCGGGAGCAACCAAGAAAGGGTTGAAAATTCTCAAAGCCCCTCTGCACCTGTGATGGTGAGGGAGGCTTGGACCCTACCTACCACTCAGTCCAGGACACAAAGGACAAATGAAAAACTTCTTTTAGTTGGAGGTGTTAACAGTATGACCACAAGGTGGCACCACTTCCAGGCAAGTCTTAAATATAAACCGTTTTTGATGTTTCCCTCCCCAAGACTGTTTCTCTGTGTACACTCTTTGGCTGTCTTGGAACTCACTCTGTAGACCAGACTGACCTTGAACTCAGAGATCTTCCTGCCTCTGCCTCCCAAGTGCTGAGATTAAAGGCGTGCATCACCACCACCCAGCAAAAAAAACCTTTTTAATTATAGCATATTGTGGATAATAATAAATACTCACGGAAATTGCATGCCACCTGGAATGATAAAATGATTAAGTTTTGGGTGCTGGAGAGATGCTCAATGTTTAAGAGCACTGGTTGCTCTTCCAGAGGTCCCAGGTTCAATTCCCAGCAACCACATGGTGGCTCCCAAGTGTCTGTAACTCTAGTTCCAGGAGATCCGATGCCCTCTTCTGGCCTTACCAGGTACTGTATTATGTGATGCACATGTGTACCAGCAGACAAAAATACCCATACAAATAAAACTAACTAACTAAATAAAATGATCATGTTTTATTTGTAAAATGTGAAGGACATTACCTATCATAGAAAAAAAACTAAAGCAGGGGATATATTCTCTCTGTTTATGCAGCTAAAATTTAGCAGGCTGCTGTGCCAAGAGGCTCTAATGTGCATCCCACCCCCATCTCCACTACCCTGATATCAAAGCACGGAGAATAGAAGAGCATTCTGCAGCCAGGCATCATAGTGATGTCTGCAACCCAGTTCTCAAAAAACGGAGCAGGCAGATGGGAAAATTTGAGGCTAGCCTGGCCCATATAATGAAGCCGTGTTGGTTGGAATAGAAGTAACTTAATGGAGTCACTATTAGGCTGGTGCTATTAGGAGGTGTGGCCTTGCTAGAGTAGGTGTGGCTTTGTTGGAGGAAGTGTGTCACTGGGGGTGGGCTTTGAGGGCTCCCATGCTTAAGCCTGGCCAGTGTGTCGCTGTCTTTCCCTGCTGCCTGCGGATCCACAAGTGGAACTCCCCAGGACCTCTCCAGCACCGTGTCTGTTTGCACACCGCCTGGCTTCCTGTTACGACAATGATGGAATCAACCTCTGAAGCTGTAAGCCCGCTCCAACTAGATGTTTTCCTTTATAAGAGTTGCCGTAGTCACAGTGTCTCTTCATAGCAATAGACGCCCTAACTAAGACAGACCCTGTCTCAAACAAACAAAACCACATTCATACAAACAAGAGCCAGGAAGAGAAGATTCCTGAGTGAGAAGGCAGCTGCTGTTCAGGCTGATGACTTGTGTTTGTGCGCTTCATTCTTGGGGCCCACATGGTAAGAGAGAACTCCTGGAAGCTGTCCTCTATTCTCTCTCTCTCTCTCTCTCTCTCTCTCTCTCTCTCTCTCTCTCACACACACACACGTAATGAGCCTTTTTCTGTCCTGCTAGCCAGCTCTCAAATAATGACTTCTTGTTCATTATGAAAGCTAACTAACTAGCTTGGGTTTATAACTAACTAGCTCTTTTAATTTACATTAATCCACTCCTATTAATCTATTACATGGCATTACCTCTCTTCCATCTCCTACTCCCTGTTTCCTCTCTGTGTCTCCGGGCATCTCCTGTGCACCTTGATGCCTCCTCCTCTTCCTTTCTCTTCCCAGAAGTCCCACCTACACCTCCTGCCTAGCTATTGGCCATTCAACTTTTTATTACACCAACCACAGCAATACATTTTCACATAGTGTATAAATATCTCACAACACACACACACAGACACAATAAACATAATAAAAAAAAACAGAACAGGGGCTGGAGAGATGGCTCAGAGGTTAAGAGCACTAACTGCTCTTCCAAAGGTCCTGAGTTCAATCCACAGCAACCACATGGTGGTTCACAACCATCTGTAATGAGAAGTGATGCCCTCTTCTGGCCTGCGGGTGTACATGCAGGCAGAACACTGTACACATAATAAATAATAAGGAAAACATAAAAAATAAAAAAAGAACAATCTTTTGTTAGGGGCCTGGAGAGATGGTTCATTGTTTAAGAATGCTGGCTGCTCTTCCAGAAACCCCGTGTTTGATTCCCAGCACCCACATGACAGCTCACAACCATTTGTAACTCCCGTTCCAGGGGATTTGATGCCTTCTCCTGGCCTCCACAGGCACTAAACATATACGCAGCCCAACACTCATAGGCAAGGAAACAAACGGCCCTTGCCAGCCTTATAGATCAAGCAACAGATCATGACGACGAGCCCAGGTTCCTGGACCCCAAATGAATCTCCTGCTGCCCATGCTAGGCGTTCGTATGCTATTAGAGGCACCTTAGGGTGGAACCCCAACGGGGGAAGCAGAAGCCAACAGTATTACGTGATATAGTCAAGCCGTCAGGTCACACAGCGTCGTCTAATCTTCCCGGGCGCCCCGCGAGTCAGACACCAAATTCTGCTAACTGTGGCTGAAGAGAAAGGCGGGGGTGGGGGTGAGGGTGAAGGATCAGGTGCCACTGGCCCGGAATGAGCAGAAGTACTCTCACGGGATCTCACGGTGGTCTCTGACTCTCTATCCAGCGGAGACGTTCTCTTCCTTGGGTCAAGTAGTATGGTGCGGGCGAGGGCGGGCAGTCCTCTGCTGCAGCTGGCTCCACCCAGTGTGGGCGCTGAGCTCCATTGCTCCCAAGACACTCAAGGGGCGAGTGGGTACTGCTGCTCTGAGAATTCGGGCAGGGGGCATCTTGCCCAACTACCTGGCCGCCTTCTGCCTGGGGCACCTGGCAGATCTGAGCAACCATTAGATTGGTTGGTGCTGGTGACCTCTGCAGAGGCTCTTGACCTCTCTGAGCCTCATCTTAACTAACACCTTCTCTTTGGCATTCTAGTCGGGGTAGTCGGGGTAGATATTCCAGGACAAACTGCACCCGTGACTTCTAACTGGGAGGTATTTCTATTTTGGAAAAGACACCCACCAGGTTCTCTTCAGACTGTTGTACATTTTCTTTTTTTCCAATAGAAATGCCCACTTTAGGTTTCCTTTGCCCATTCCTTGCTTTTTTTTTTTTTTTTAACCCATGCCGGAACGGAAGTTCCCAGATGGGAAGTATCATCTGATGTAGTGTCCAGCTTGACCCGAGCATTACCTGGTACCTACTAGGTGCGAATAAAATTTTGTCATCACTAGGAGGCGCTATACCCTGCCCCTCTGCTTGCAGTGACTCTACCCTTCCAATGGCTTGGAGATTCCCAAATCCCTCACACTAAGACTTGGCGCTCCGACAGGCCTAGAGGGATCTTCAGGAATAACATTCAGTGCTGTTGGAGAACTGGATGGGGCGACCCGAAGATGAATAATGGCAGAAATTATTTACCCATTGTATAGATCCAGCAACTGAGGCCCAGAGGGATGTCAAACGAATTGCTTGGTATTTTCCGGCTTGTTGACTCTCACAGTGAGGGGCCGGACCCCACTGAGAGCAGTCTCCCGGTACAGACAGGTCACATCCCCCTTCCTTGGGTTCTGCCTGCGCCATCACCACGTGTGGGCAGGGGAGCCGCAGGCGGAGGTGTGGGGGCTGCAGGCACCCAAGAGCGCTCAGAGCATCTTCTCCAGGCCTGAAGTACTGCAACCCGGCTCGTCTGCCAGAGGGGCTCGGCTCTGCCCGCCCACCGCGGGGCGGGGCGCACGCTCGGAGGCTAGGGGACCGCGAGTGGCTGAAGCGTCGTGGGGCTCCTGCGCGCGTCTCCCCGGCTCAGGAGCCCCTTGCCCGCCGCGCCACCAGCCGCCGCCTGTAGTCTCCAGCCCGGCGGCTCTTGCCGCAGTCGCCGGCAGCGGATCACCCGCGAGCGCCCAGGTAGGGAGCTCGGGTGGGAGGCAGCCAGGCGAGCCGGCGCGGCCGGGAAGGCGGAGCGGGGTGCTGCGCTCCTCTGCCAAGCCGCTCACCCCGGCCCAGTCTGGCCTGGCCCTGCCCGCGGCCTCCGGTACCCCGAATCCCGCGGTGCCTCTGGGCGAAAGGAGACCTGCCTTCCGCGCCTGGGTTGCGCTCCTGCTCTCGGGCCATCCCTTTGAGACCCCCCCCCCCCCCCCATGCGCGACAGCTTGTGATCTAGCGTACGCACACGTCCACCCTCCCCGAAGAGCCTGCCCCGGCCCGAGAGCGCGAGTTCGCCTCCTGCTCCCATCTCCCCAGCTGTGTCTCTGGCCAGGAGCCCCACCCCCATCTTACGCCATCCCAGGTGGCTCTGTTCCACTCCAGGGTTCTCTCATTCAACGCCAACCTAACTTTAATTAACTCGGTTCGTCAGGTACCCCTCCCCAAACTTCTTACCTGAGTCCTCCAGGTGGCCCCACCGTTGGAGACACCCCTACAGCCCCTTCCCGTTGGAGACACCCCTACAGCCCCTTCCCGATCTCTTGTAATCGCCGCTTGGTGACCTAAGGTCCCCGTGTTGTTACTCCTCCGGGGCGCAATTTTTACCTAGCTTCCTTCCTCTTCCTTTGGTTTCATCCTGTCCCCGCGTTCACTATATCCCGTCCTGGTCCTCAACCCTAGTCCCCATGGTCCCAGAGCCGGGCCCTATCAACAATAGCACCCCAGTCTGGGGGCCTGGGCCACCTCCTGCCCCAGGGGGAAGCGGCTGGGTGGCCGCGGCGCTTTGCGTGGTCATCGTGCTGACAGCGGCCGCCAATTCGTTGCTGATCGTACTCATCTGCACGCAGTCCGCGCTGCGCAACACGTCTAACTTCTTCCTGGTGTCGCTCTTCGCATCGGACCTGATGGTGGGGTTGGTGGTGATGCCCCCGGCCATGCTGAATGCTCTGTATGGGCGCTGGGTGCTGGCGCGCGGCCTCTGCCTACTTTGGACCGCCTTCGACGTGATGTGCTGCAGCGCCTCCATCCTCAACCTCTGCCTCATCAGCCTGGACCGCTACCTGCTCATCCTCTCCCCGCTGCGCTACAAGCTGCGCATGACAACCCCGCGTGCCTTGGCGCTCATCCTGGGTGCCTGGAGCCTTGCAGCGCTTGCCTCCTTCCTGCCCCTGTTGCTGGGCTGGCACAAACTGGGCAACGCTCGGACACCTGCCCCCGGCCAGTGCCGCTTATTGGCGAGCCTGCCTTTTGTCCTCGTGGCGTCCGGAGTCACCTTTTTCCTGCCCTCAGGTGCCATCTGCTTCACCTACTGCAGGATCCTGCTGGCTGCCCGCAAGCAGGCGGTGCAAGTGGCCTCGCTCACCACGGGCATGACTGGCCAGGCCCTGGAGACCTTGCAGGTACCCGGGGTGCGTTTGGGAGACCTGGGCTCATGGGATGGGAAGGAATAAACAACCACTGGGAATCCACTTGCTGGCTGTCTCTTAGTAAGTGCTTGGGGCTGATCCTCTAAGGCCTCGTGGCTCTGCCTCTCTCATGAATCTCAAACTCTGACTGTGGTGGGTTAGCTGCTATATCCGGATACGGAGGAGGAAGCTGGCGCGCTTCTCCTTGACAGGCCCCATCGTGTGTCACATGTGGCAAACTTAGAGAGCGCTCTTTCTCTCCCTCATATCCACACTCCTTTCTCAGGCCTGCTGGTCCTGCCGACGGGTCTAAGCACACCTCTCTGCCTCGGCTGTCTCCGTTGTGTAAGCCACTGTCGCCAGGGAGCCTTTGATAGACTCCTGCTGCCCCTGCCCCCACCCCCACCCCCGCTGCGGTCCACTTTTCCAACCAGAGCCAGAATGACGGAAAAGACCCTCCTGGCAGTGATGCTCTCCTTCTACAAACCTCACCTAGCTCACCATAAGGAGAAAACCCATCTCAGAATGTGGCCTGTGGATCCTTCCTCCCGGGCCAAACTCCATTCTCCCTTTCTCCTCTCTCCCTCTCTTCCACTTGTTCTGCACCAGCCTCAGGGCCCCGATGACAGTCCCCAAAGCTGCCAAGCTTAATTCTGTGCCAAGATTTTGGCTTTTACTTTGAGACAGAGTCTCATGTAGCTTCGGCTCGCTTCAAATTCACTATGTAGCTGAGGGTGATCTTGAAGTTGGGATTTTCCTGCCTCTACCTCCTAAGGGCTGGGACTATAGGTGTGAGCCACCAGGCCTGCCTTAAGGTCTTTGCATTTGCTGTGGCCTTTGCCTGGATGCTTCTTCCTGGAGCCCCTCTTGCCCAATTCCCTTTAAACCCACCTCTTCCCAGGGTGACCCTGACTTTCTGATCTGCAGGCCCATCGGCTCCAATCTGCTATTGCCATCACAACCCCCAAACTTGTTTGTTGATTTAGCCACTTTGGCTCACTGACTTGGGAGCTGTGTGAGGTTAGGTCAGTTTTGATCCTTAGTACACAGCTCAGTAATAGCTGGAGAACAGGGCAGGGCTCTTAGCTCAAGCAAGGGTGGCTGGTCTTGCCATCCAGGCCATGCTGGGCTTCAGGCTGAGGTCCATCCTGAGTGATGGAGATGTCCACTGACTAGACTTGAGCTTCTGAGATTTGGGTCTCTAAATCTAAGGCTCTGGCCAAGGTCCCAGGTAGGCTCTGCAAGGACGTCTTGGTGTAGCCTCAGGTGAAGGAGGGTCTTCGAGGGTGGTAGCCTGGGGGGGTCACACAGCAGCCAGGGACTAGGTGGGAAAGGTAGCAGGCTCTGGGAAGCCCCCAGGGCAGCTGGACCACAGAGAGGCCCGATCTTCCAAGGTCCAGTCACCTAGGACAGTGGTATCTGGGTGGGCAGGAATCCTGGCTGTAGCTCTCTGTCTCTCTCTGCATTCTGAGAACATTCTGGAGTCCCAGCAGCTGACTGTGGTCCTGACACAGAGGCAGGATCGATGCCCTGGGCCTTTCACTCTTTTCTGAGGATTTTGGTGGTTTCTTTTTGTTTGCTTGTTTGTAAAGACATCCTTGTAAGCCAAACGGTGGTGGCATATGCCTTTAATCCCAGCACTTGGGAGGCAAAGGCAGGCAGGTCTCTGTGAGTTCGAGGCCAGCCTGGTCTACAAGAGCTAGTTCCCTAGTTCCAGGACAGGCTCCAAAGCTACAGAGAAACCCTGTCTCTAAAAACCAAAAAAGAGAAAGAAAGAAAGAAAGAAAGAAAAGACATCCTTGCTCAGCCGCGAGTCCTTCCTGCCTCGTTGTGATTTCATTGACTTGCCCATTTGTTGACTTGCTGCTTCTCACCTGTGTAAATTTCCTGGCCTCAGAGGCAGGTGGCTTCTCCAGAGGGGTCCTGAAAGTGAATGAGCTACAGGCAGTGTCGGTGATGCAAACAGATCATATGTGATGTCTCTACACAGTAGGGGCCTGTTTCTTACTCAGCAAAGGAGTCAGATGGTTCAGCGGTTAAGAGACCTTGCTGAATAATCATGAAGATGGGAGACTGGATCCCAGCACACACATAACAAGCTGGGCAACCCACAGACACTCAGAACTCTATTGCGCTCAGTGCTGTCTCTCAGATTTGGTACATGTGACAGTAACAGGTCAGCACATACACATACAGACACACACACACAGAGACAGACACAGACACATACCGACACACACAGACACACAGACAGACACACACACACAGACAGACACAGACACATATTGACACACACAGACACACAGACAGATACACACACACAGACACCCACACACACACAGACACACACACACACACAGACAGACACATACCGACACACACAGACACACAGACAGACACACACACACAGACACACACACACAGACAAACACAGACACATACCGACACACACAGACACACACACACAGACACACATACACAGACACACACACACAGACAGACACAGACACATACCGACACACACAGACACACAGACACACACACACAGACACACACACAAATAAAAGCCAATGGAAACAATATTCAATACAAACGGAAGCTCCCAGGTTCGTGAAGACATTGGCTGACCGTGGCACAGGGTCTCCAGTGGTCTACCACTGAGCTCCCTGCTTGCTTTCTGAGATTTTGTAAAGGAAGGAGAATCACTTGGGGGTGGGGCGTATCTACTTTCCAGTCCCCCCCCAATCCCCTACTTAAGTCTCTCAGTTCATCTCTATCTGGAATTTTCTTTGTATTCCTCATTTATCTTTTTATTCCATGAATGTGTTCAGAAAGAAAAAACCCTCTCTCTTCCAGAAATGGAAAACCAGTATCCCTTCCCACAAGCGGTCACAGGAAACACAAGGGCAGGATGTCAGAGGGGCCCCACGCAGTGTCGCTGGCGTGCCTTTGACATGTCTGTCTGCCGTGCCCAAACCTGAAGCAGGCTTTCTCATCATGCGTTTGGGGAGGGGATACGAAGAGCAAAGACCATGCCTTCTCTTGCGGGAAAATAGCTCGCAGCTCTCATGTGTTTGCATTTTTTAATTTTAACTCATTATTGTGTGTTTGTGTGTGAGCATGCACACGTGTACCACAATGTGTGTCTGTAGGACTTACGACTATTTTCATGGAGCCCGGGGTCTAATCGGGCTCGGTGCAGGTGCCTTTATCCACTGAGCCTTCTCATTGGCTCTGCGAGTTTTTGAAATGTTTCATCTAACTGAAAAGTCCTGAATGCCCGTTCTTGAGGAAACTCTGTGCCAGAGATCAAGACTATTAGAGGTTGGCCTGTCGGGCTCTCCGGTCCCAACAGGGCCCTCACACAGGTGTTCTTTAGATGAAGCGAGCCAGCTGGTACCATGATCTCAGGACCTGCGTGGGAGCCTCCCACAGACACACACTGTTGGCTTAAGCCCTCTGTCAGGCACCAAGCCAAGCTTGGTGTCCAGAACACCCGCTGAGCATCTGTCCCTCAGCCCTGCTTCACGGTAGGGCATCTACGCCCCAGAGAGAGCAGATGTGATGAAGTGACAGTTGATCAGTCCTGTGACCAGCGACATTAAACCTTGCCCCCCTGCCGATTGTTTCCCAGGTCCTCCCTGAGCCTTGATCTGCCAACTCAGCCTGCACCGTGGGGCTCTGACCTGGGTCGCTAGTGCTCTTTTCCCACTCTCTCTGTAGTGGGTTTGTTTTGTCTCAGGCCTGGAAATACCATCTGCGAGCAGCTAGGCCAAGCCCTGCTCAAGGACAGACAGAACTCTCGGCCCTTCCCAGACCCCACACTTAGCCCCTAGGGTCTTCTCCATGTCAGGAGATGGTGACCTCTTTTTTCTGATCTCCCAGGCTAGAAGCTCTGGAAGCAGCCTGGATGCCTCTCTGCTTCTTCCACTATGGACCCAGTCCTCTCCTCTCTACCTGTGGCACACGCCCAGGCTCTGGGCACCTTGCATCTCTCCACTGCCCTCCTGGGGATGAGACCCTTTATCATGCCTGGGTTATAGTGGTAATCTTCTACCTGATATGTATACTGTGTTTTATGCTTGGGACAGCTATTGTCCCAAGACTCCCTGATCCTTGTCTATATTTCCCTCTTTCTCCCTTTGATTACTCTTCCTCTGTCAGCCACATCGGCCTCCTCGCTGTCCCTTGAGCATCAAGCACCTTCCTGTCCCAGGACCTGTTTCATTTCCATAAGGTCCTTCTTCAGTTTCTGTCCCATCTTCTGGTCCCTTCGGTTCTCCTGCTTCTGAGTAGGAACTGCTGCCCTCACTAGGTCCTCTCCAGGCCCACTGCTCTCCCAGCAGCGTCTGCAAACATCTTGCCAGTTGATGGATGATTGATTGATGGCTTCTCCTGAGTGGGAAGCGAGCTGTGAGAGCGCAGGAGCTTGTCATGTTCGCGGCTGTATTTTCAGCACCCAGAACCGTGCCAAGCCTATCCCAGCCATGTTTGTGGTGGGAAGGAAATGGATGCCTAGCTGCAGAGGGCCTGGGGTTCAACTCTGGCTCACAGGGCTGCCCATTCTCAGCTCCTGCAGGCTCACTGTATGCAATGCGTCTGTAAGCTTTTCACAGCATGAATTCATTAGCCCAATCAATGGCATGTATTGAGTACCTACAGCGTGTAGGAGCAAGACCCTGCCCTGCTTAAATTTATGCTGGTTGGAGAGATGGACTTTGACCTCATTTCCATAAGGTCCTTCTTCAGTTTAGCAGGAGGGGAGGAGGGTGGATCGTAGAAGGGGGAGACCTCTAAAAGCCATGTTCTGTGTGTAGCTGAAGGCCTAGGCAGAGAAGCCACAGTGAACCCTGAAGCCAAAGGCTGGAGGATATCCCTTCCGTCTCCAAGGTCATCATCCTACCTCACAGACAGGATGATCCGCTGGGCATTCAAGCTGGAGGCTTGTTTATCCTGTCTCCCTCCTCCCACCAAACACCTGAGGGAAAGCCTGGTCTCTCTCT